ATTCATGAACATGTTTCGAGATAAAATTTTCCAATATTCTCAATCTTCATAATTGTATTTTCAATTATGGAACATGTTTTCAACCAAAAATATTGTGGGAAAATATTACAAGTGGTAAAAAAAATAATATAAATTAAAAATCATGAATAAACATACTTTTTTACTAAAATAATATTATTATATTATACATATACGTAATAGAACTTATGATGAAATTATTTAATTAACTTAATCTTTCATGAAACCTCTTTTACTGTTGTACTTGAAATTTAGTTTCTCGTAAACCGAATTTCAACTTTAAACTTACCATTTTTTTTAAATAAAATAAATAAATAAAATATATAATTAAAAATAATAAAATTAAAAATAAAAATAAAATTTTCATTTTAAAATTTAATTAATATTTATATAAAAAATAATAAAAATAATATATTATTTAAATATATATTAAATTATTTAAATATATTTAAATAATTATTAAATAATAAATTTTTATTATATTTTTTATATATTTTTTTATTATTTTTGAATAGGAAATTTAAAATTTATATATTTTTTTATTATATGAATTATTTAAGTTATAATTTTAGAAAAAAATAGAATAAATAAAAATTTAATTTAGGTAATATATTAAAAATTTAAATATTATATTATAAAAATTTATGTAATAGTTTTTATTTGATAAATTATAAATATTATATTAAAAAAATCGTGCTAAAATTAATTTTTTTAAAATAATAAAGTAAAAATATTATTTAATTAGTTAAAAATTATTATTATTAATATAAAATAAACTTAAAAATAAAAAATTATAAAAATTAACAGAATTTAATGTATAATATTAAAAATAACATAATCATTGATAATAAAAATTGAAAAATAAAATTATTGACAATAATGTTAAGAAAAATTTAATCTCAAAAGTGGTGTCTAGTTCCACAACTAGGACGACGTCTATTACATTTTGAATTTCGTCGGTGTGGTTGTTCTTAAATTTCGGGAGAAATTTGTGGAGGGTTTTCTTCTTCATAAACCTCTATTATTTTCACTCTATGCAAATCTTTTTACCTTTATTATTTTTATTTAATATCATGTTCTATAATTTTTATTTTGCTACTAATAACTTATTTTTAATTTTGCTTTTAATATTTTATATATTAAATTTATCAATTTTTTTAAAATTATAACTTAAATAATTCATATAATAAAAAAATTTAAATTTCCAATTCAAAAATAAATAAAAAATATATAAAAAATATAATAAAATTTTATTATTTAATATTTTTAATAATTATTTAAATATATTTAAATAAATTAATATATATTTAAATAATATATTATTTTTTATATAAATATTATTTAAATTTTAAAATTAAAATTTTATTTTTAGTATTAATTTTATTATTTTTAATTATATATATTTTATTTAATTTTTTATTTAAAAAAGTGATAAATTTAAAATTTGAATTCGATTTAAAAAAACCAAATTCTAATTACAACACAAAAAACGTTCAATTGAAATTCAATTAATTAAATAATTTTATCATAAATTGAGTTAAATAAATAATTTTATGGTAGCTTTGTTACGTATATATATATATATATATATATATATATATATATATATATATATATATATATATATATATATATAATATAATAATATTATCTTAGTTAAAAAGTGGTCCTACCTAACTCGAACTCACTAAATTTTAGATATAGGTAACTCAGTAACCACAATAGTTTAGAATTAAAAAAGCAAAAAACAATAATAATAATTGAATTGGGCCTGGCCCTCTTCCCACGTGTATCATAGCCTAATATATATATTTTATTTATTTATCAAAAAAAAAATTGAGTTTAACTTTTGAATAGATTAATGAAAAAGATAAAAAGAAGAGTAAAAATTGGAATTATTTGAATATTAGAAACAACATAATTGAGAAAAAAAAGTTAAATTAATTTATTAATTTTGTAAATTACTTATCATTAATATATATATATATATTTATTATTTTTTTTTTTACAGAATTTATGTCCAAGATAATTTAAATTTTTGCGCCTTTCTTCCTTTTAAACGAAAATTTTGTGTATCTATTTTATAATTTGTTTTACTTTAAAATGCATGAAATCATCGCATTTTTACGTTGTTGGAAACTAACGCACTGTTAGCAATTCAGTTTCTTACCGTCCTGAGCTCTCTCAATCCAATTCAAGAAGCCCTAATGTTGTGTTCAGAGAATTGCGATTTTACCCGTTCATCTTCAATTCCTGGTGATGGCACTGTTACCGTAATATTTACATAGCATTTGTTGAATCTGTAGTTTTCCGATGTCCTGACTTTTCTGCTGTGTTTGTGAATGCATCCTGACAATCCTTGCTCTAATGTCATCTATAGATGGTATGCTGATCAATACATGATGCGTTGGTTAAGATCAAATTGGTTCTGATTCCGAATCTTCGCTGGGATTGCTTATCAAATGTGAGTTAATGTTTGATTTGTGATTCACCGCTTTTTATTTGTTTTCTCTTGTTAAATATCATTACTTCTTTTAGTTTTAGCAGTTTCTTGCCACTAAGTGCTCAGCTATTTTATTCTCATGGAGACCGACCTGAAAAAAGTGCAACTTTATGGGTTGTACTTGTAATTGCTTGCATATTTATTTACCCTCTTAATTTCTTTATTGGGCCACATTAATTTTGTTGACCTAATATGGGATCTCATGAAAGCTTCTAAGAAGCAACTATTCATAAATAATTGTGTGTTTGACTACGGTTTTGTTTGAATAAATTTCTCTACAAGCATTTATTAGAAAATATTTGAAGAGAATAAAAAATGAAATAAGTATTTCTGATTAGCTTATGTATAAGCTTTATTAGCTTATGTATAAGCTTAAATTAGCTTATCCATAAGCTAATCTGTATAAGCTTTCTCATGTTAGGCTTTCAAAATCTGATTTACGGCCAAGCTAAAGTTTCTATAAATTAATTTAGGCATAAGCTAATATTTAGCTTAAGAAGTAACTAATTTCATTTTATTTTCTTATTTGCTTCCCTTAGAAGTGAAAATGAAGTATATTATCCAAACAAACTCTACTTTAGATGGTTTATTTAACCTATGATTGCCTTTTTACATGGGTTAGTGTGACTCTCATAATACTGTGTCTGTGGGTTGACCATCACAGAGAGGCAAGAAAATTCATCCTGTCCTCCATTGAATGTAAGGGGTGAATGAGAAGAATTATTGAAAATATTAAATTATTCAACTCAGTTATAACATGCCAGTGGGCCACATAGCATGGTACCCACTTCCATAAAGCTTTCATTTCATAGTTCTACTAAACTCCTTAAAGCAATGTTGTTTTTCTTCATATATATTCTCTAAGTATGTTGAGGGGATGCCCCCGGGATTCACCAAGATGCCAAAGCCAATTATAGCATTTTCTAGGTATAGAAGTGGCTGTAGGCTAGTGTAGAAACAAATGAGCAGCCGCTTCAGAGCTAGAGCCCAACTGAAAACACATCAAACAATGCAGTTTGTATGGTCTTTATAAATGAATACTCTAACTTATCATAAATTTTAATCTTATTTAGTATCTTTAAGTCCACATGAGAAAAATTCAATTTGGAAGCAACTTTGGACTTCCAGAGCGATTCATTAGGATTTGTTTTTGTTCGAAGAGTGGTAGAAAATTGGAAGAATTTACATGAATACACACCTAAAGGGTAAAGGATACTGATGGGCCTATGGTAGTTAACCAAGAGAAAGAAAAAAGGTGTTAAGGGATAACTGGGAAGGAGAGTTTTGTTAGAGAAGGAGTGCAGAGGACTAACAGAATACACAGCTATCACGAAAGGATTGGTGAAGGAGATAAAATGAATCATGATGAAGGGCACATGGACATTAGGAGGGTGGGGTATCAGAATGGCTCGAGGAATTATTTGGGAATTGTGGGGTTAGCTGTTGCCACAGGCACAGGACAGAGAACCTTCTCTGAATATATTTCGTTCTCAAGTTTCTATTCCCTTCTTTCTTACAAAATTGGCTCTGCAATTGAGGCTAGTTCCTTGATTCCGATCAAATATTATTAGTAAATGTCAGTTCCTAATCAGCAAACTCATTTTTTATCCACATTAGGAGATAAGTGAAGTAGGATTGAGTAAACGGAAAGATTGGGAGGGTGCAACAAATAGGGTTTAAATAAGGTTGACCAGATGACAAAATGCTTCAAGAAAAGATAATATTTGATCCTAATTGGAGTGCCAATTGTTGAGGAGAAAGAAGATGGTTTGACTGCAAGTAGAAGACCAAAAGATGTGTTAAAGTTAATCAAACGGAAGATTCCTCAATTAAAAGAGGTTGAGGAGACTGTAACTTTAGTATAAACAATCAAAACATTTCTTGCCCTAAATTGATTTATTGAAATTTGGTTTAGGGTGGAGCCTACTAACATCATTTGATTTATGTAGCAGATTCCACATCGTGGTATAATTCTTTGTTATGAACTGAATATCACCCAAATAATCAGGTATTTAAATTGTGGACAACATCCTATTGCAGTGACAATCATCATTTCGGCAACTGTTATAATCACATCACCCTAATTGCTGACTGCATACGTTCGTTTGCATTGACTTGCAAACTAACAGTGACTATAATGTGACCGCAGTTGCATAAATCCTGAAAACATATTTAGAATTATAATTTTAACTCAATAATTGGAATTGGTATTTTGCTCCAACATTTCAATTATATCTCTAATCTTGCATTAGCTTCTTATTGCTTTAAAGTACCAAAATTTAGCATGGTATCTCTTGTTCTCCGATTAAGGGGATTGTAATGATAGAATTTCCACTGTGTTTTATTTAAATGTTCTCAAAGACAAAGACCATGGCTCAAAATATAAAACAGGGCATGCCTCATTATGTAAAGACAGAGGTCAAGCCTCTAAATATTGAACAGACCCAAAATGTAAAGACAAAGGCCATACCTCTTAACACTAAATAGACTCACGATTTAGCTCATCCATCTTGATTTTATTTTCCTTCATATTCTTCTCAATCAGCTTGTTGAGTTCTTTCAGTACTTCAACATCAGTTGGCAGGTCTTCACCTTGCATGTACTGGAACATGGACAAGGTCTTCTCCTTCTCTTGGTTCTCCTGACGCAGCTTCTTCAGCTGCTCCTGGGCTTTGGCAATCCTCTGCATTAGGAAACTCTCTTGGTTGACATTCTTGCTTTCATCTATCACAGATGCATCCAGATACCTCTGAATCACTTGCTTGGCTCCCTTTGGATCTGGCCAAATCTCCGGTTTAGCATCAAAAGGACTTGCGATTATAGCGCAGGCTGGGATACCACAAAGAATGGTGAGTTCACTCACCTTCTTAATGATACCCTTCTTCCGTTTCTTGTACGTAGATTTCCTTGCCGTCACATCTGTGATATAGGCAAGTTTCACTTTCTTCCTAGTCATGGCTACAATTGTGAAGTAATAAGAAATGAGAATCTTTATTTGACGCAATATGTTCTCTAGACCATCTGGGCTTTATAAAGGACTATCTCACCTATTCCAATTGAAACTCCTGGAATTCTTGTTTGGACACTTGATACCACTATCTTGGGTTCCAAACAGAAACGTACCTGAGCATAAATGTTTTGGCATTTTACAATAATTCCCTTGGTGTACTGAATTGTATTGTATTGGAAAATAATTAAAAACCACGCACCATAAATTGTTACACCTTGATGCACTACCATTTTTAGAGAATATGCAAAATATGGATCTTTTCCAGACCGTTATGTTTTCACAGAAACTGGAAGAAAGCTGACCAGTCCTCAATAGTGTTCCATCGGTTGGTTTTGGAGTAAGAAAACAACTGTGGGATCCCAATGCTTCAATTAAATAAAATCCCTTTTATTTTCTAAATACTTTGAATAAATTAACTCAAATTTCTTGTATATTGATTTCATTTGATAGAATAGTTCAATTTTCACCTAATGCAATTTTTTTAATATTTATTTATAATTAAAAGTTTAATATTAAACTTTACAAAAAAAAATTATTCAAGTTTTTCAGCAGTTAATTATTTAATATGGTTATACTATTAGATAATATTTAGTAATTCAAAACTATTTAACTATCAGATTATATTTGATGATATAAAATAATATTGGATAAGCATGACCATATATATTATCTTTGTCAGAATACAATTTCAACATATTTGTTTTTCTTTTAATTACAACATATTTGTTTTTTTTTTTCTTAATTATAACATTAATGCTTTTAGTTTTTGTCATCGAGGTGAATAAAACGACAGCCTTTTATGCTTTTGAAAAATTGAGAGAACAGACATTGGGGGTGATCTATAATTTAAAGTTTCTTTCGACCTTTGGCACTCAATTTTTTTTGTCCCTCCAATGGCTAAGTCAAGACACTGTATCACTTAGATTATTTGTACTTCAAAGACTGCATCAATCCTCAAAACACATCAATGCAATCTGATTACACGAGAGATCAGTATTCACCTCAACTATCAACTGATCCTGTAATGTCTGATGCCTAAATTGCATCCAACTGATGTAGAGGGGTAATTAGCTCAGAACCCACTAAGAATCTTGTTAATTGTATTTAAGTCCATACAATTCTACTCCAGACGCATTAACTTTGAGCTGATGTTAAAGATCAAATAAACCATAAAACTAGTCTGGAAAAATGATAAAATGATTGAAATTTGGGTTAAAATCAATTAAAAAAAAACTTATTTACAGTTGGTCACAAAGAAATGTTTAATACAGCATTTTGGCTTTTTTAAAACTGAAAATTAAAATATTTATTATTAGTAAATATTGATCTATATTGTTAAAATTTTAGCTTAAACTTTTTATACGTACTTAAAAGGGAATCTTGTTTATTTTAGTTTTTAGTATTATATAGTTATGATGTTATGCCTATTTAATCTAGTTTTAAATTGCTTATAACAATATGACATGAGAGACTAATATTATGTTTAAAACAAAAAGTAAAATAATAAAAATCAGCTTAATGACATTTACCATGCCAACTTTAATGAAAATACAAAATGAACAAATTTTTTTGGTGTTAGACATTAGCAATTTTTCTTGATAAGAATGAATGTTTTTGTTTAAAGCCCAACATCAGAATATGTTTAGCTAACTAATCAAACTTATATTTCAATTTTAAGGCAATTAAAATGATAACAGAGCAGGTGATCCAAATAACATTAAGCTGTAAAATTTTTCCTGGGTCCGGTCCCCTTCTCCTCTAAGAAGGAATGATCTATCAAAAATAGGGGGGAATGGGAAAAGTTTTGATTTGGTAACCTTCAATGGACAAAAGCTTGGTGTAGTTCAGTAACAGGATTTGGTAGTTGGTTGCACTCTTTGGTCTTGTTTACCCCATTATCAAACTTTTTAAAATGTGAGTTAGACATTCAGGTCACCTTATTTCATTTACCAGGTAAAAACTGGTACCAACTCCAATTTTTTTCACCATTCACTTGGAGAGGACACTAGTACAAGTTCCTTTTCTAAATAATCACAAAGAATTATTAAAATATTTTTCCATCTACGCAGACTAAAATAGTTAATATGATTAACATATTAACCATCTTCGTAAAGATTTCCAATAAATTGAAAAAAATAATAAACAACAAATCTAGATAACGAGTGTACGATAGAGATTGAATGTAATAAATTACCTACACAGTCAAGTGTGACACAATGGGGAGAGATTGAGTATAATGTTACAATTTTGTATAATTAATTATTAGGTACAAAATCAATAATTAAGATCAACATAAAGTATCAAATTTAAAATAGAGACAGAAAGACTAGCACTACAATAAGAGACAATAAGATTAACATGATTTATTGTAATTGAATGGAAGATGCTCTTAGTGGGAAAGTGATTTATCTGTTTCAATACAAATGTATCCATTAAAAAAAAACCTATAAAATTATATTTTCTTTTTGAAAAGAGTAAAGAACAAAGATTTTTTTTTCTTAATTACCTTTTTAAGATAAAGTAAGACATATTACATTGTTATATTATATTATAAGATAAGATCTATTATGAAAAAAATTGATTAACCAATTCTAATAAAAAATTTATAAATCAAATCTTATATATTTTCAATTATTTTATGAAACATACAAAAAAATCACACTATATTTTTTTAAAAATATTTTTTTACAATTTAATATTATTTATAAATTATTATAAAAATAAATTTTAAAATATAAATATATGTTTAAAAGTTCAGATATTTTTAATTATATGTAAATTATTTTTAATTTTATTTATTTTTATCAAATTTATTAAATGATTATTTCATATAAATCATATTTTAATTTTAATTTTATTTATTAAAATCTTAATAAGAATATTTATCTCGTTTATTAATTTATTTTATTATTTAATTTTTTAATTAACTAAATCAATATTATCTTCTTTAATTTTTTATTCATTTCTCTTCTTCTTTTTTTCACTTTATTTCATTTTGATTTAAATATTTTTCTTTTTGATTTTCTTTTTATCTTTTTTCACTTATTCAAATTTATCTTAAATCCAAACACAATCAACTAAAAAAATAGAAATTCAATTACAAATTGAATACAGTTATAAAATAAATACATAACCCATATATATATATATATATATATATATATATATATATATATATAAGCGTCTTTTATATGTTATATTCAAACAAGTTATTTTGGTTGTTGAGTATTTTATTTTATTTTTTTAAAATTGTTAAAGCTTTCATCCACACACTATTATAGTAATTAGACCTAAAATAAACAATCTAATTGATAAAAAAATGATGTTTCAATATATAATTTGTGATAGGTAAGAAACATGAACAAATTGATATTAATTTTTTTCTAAAGTAGTGAATTATTTCTTCTAGCACAGTAATTTTTGTACATTATATGTTTGAATATTATTTACATAGAAAAATATTGCAATCATTATAATGATTTCTCACTCAAAATATTTATATAAATGAATAAAAAATTTAAAATTGTAAATATATAAATAGATGTACCTAATTATTATTAAATTTATTTATTTATTTACTATTTATTTATTTCTTACCTATTAAAATTAAAATTTAATTTCAATATAAAAAATAATTAAAAATGGACTTAAATATGTATTAATTTTTTTAGTAAATATAGCTTTATTGGGTTTTTAGTATAAATACACCATTTATTTTAAGGGTGACACTCCACATACAATTTTATCTACTCCCTTTGACTATAATCCTTGTTACAACACCAACTGAAATCCATGAATTATTAACAACCCAATATACATTTTTAATTTAACAAAACCTAACAAATGAAGATTTTTAGTACATGGATCCAATTTACACACTGCCATAGATTATTCTTTACGCACATCCCCTTCGATTTCACATTTTGGTCTCCACTCCGCATTCGAACAAACCCTACTCCATCTTCTATTTGCTGTGGTTGGGCACCAACATGAAAGTCAACATCTTGCGTATCCTTTTTTCACTTTATTTGTTTCACCAATTTTATTTTATTTTTCAATTTTTTTTGTTTTTTCTTCCCTTGTCCATTTTTTTTTTATAATTTCCGTGTTTTTGCTTGACTCTAAGTGTTGTCAATACAACGAGAATTGGGTTTTTGTGCAAAAGAAAAAAAAAAAAAAGTGTTTTTCTTGACAAAGGTCTTTCTTCCTGGTCATCTGCTCTACATCTAAAAAGAGTATGCTCTCACTCTCTCTTAAGCATAACTTTTATATAATGACGATATGAACTTGTTCTGCTTACTTTGTCTTTCAAATTATTCCTTGACTGAAACTTTCTGGATGTTTTATTTTATGGTCATATCTGTTGAATAATTAAGGTTGTGCTTGTTAGAGAAGATAGAAAAATGAGGGAAGTGGAAATGCAGTTGAGATTGAAATGCCTTGATTTGCTGTATGGTTGTGTTGAGTGTGGAAAGTTGATTTTGGCTTACTTTTGTGCTGTGAAAGGATTCGCAGTTGTGTGTCTTGATGAGGGTATCTTACATTTTCAATGGCTTGGTTGAATATTGGAGAAGGTTCTGATTTTCAGTTGGTGGTGATACTTTTTAGGTGGACTAGACAAGAGTAGGTTGTGAATAATTTTCTGCCGACATTTATACTGCAGAACAGACAAAACTTGTATGACTGGTGTGAGATTGAGTGTATTGCGCTTTCAATTGCTTGCTACAAATATCTGTTGTACCAAGCAAATTTAACATGATTTTCATTTCATGTTTTCAGCCTCCTTAGTTTTTATCTAATCATTTGCTTTGCAACTGAACCAAGTAAATCCTAGAGTTACCTTATTCCCTTTTGTCAAGTATAGATGGCATGCTGTTGCTTGGTGGACTTGGGATGCCCAGGATGAAACATGTGGGATTTGTAGGATGGCTTTTGATGGATGTTGTCCTGACTGTAAACTCCCGGGGGATGACTGCCCATTGAGTAAGCTATTGATAATATTATATGCTGATTTTCATCGTTATAATAATTTGTAGTTTGTTTCTCAAATAAGTCTTTAACATCATGGGAATTCTATGCTACTCTAGCAGTTGCAAACGCAAGTTAGGCAAGTGTACAGCATGTAAATGCTTGGGATTTCATTGCTCATACATGAGCTTCTATTAAGTAATGGATTCGTGTGGACAGTGATTGTAATTTGTAATGTGGGGTCTTAAGGTAGCCTCAAAGTAGATTTTTAATAGTTTGTTTAGTACACCTACCGCAACGTGGATTTTATTCAACAAACTATCAACATGGTATAGATCAAGATTTCTAGGTTTGCTTTCAAGTTTGTACTTTTCTAAAACAACCTTTTATTGCTTTTTTGGGGTCTATTCATGTAGGATAGTATTAGTGAATAGTTTTGTTCTCTTATAACGTGTGATAATTGAGATTACAATGTTATAGTGTTAGGATTTCCCAATTTTCTTGACTGCAGATACATTAGGATACCCACTAAACATAATTTGTTCTTTCACACACAGACACACACACACACATATAGACTTATACATATATACGTTTAAAATTCTCTAGCTCCACTGATTTGAATGTTTTGAACTGCTGCAAAGATGATATTGCCGTTGACATACATGATGATGACTCTTTAAAAAGTTTTATGCATACTAAAGGAGTTTGAAAGACTTCCCGCACAATTGAGAATTTTTCAAGAAAGAAGTAAGATGACATGATTCTATTTGGGCTGTAAACCAAATATTGACATCATTCTATTAGGAAATGCTTAACTTACTAACTGATCAAATTGCAATATTCTGTTAATCTGTATATCAGTAATTAGTCTAACATATTGTGCTCTACAGTTTGGGGTGTATGCAATCATGCATTTCATTTGCATTGCATCCTGAAATGGGTGAATTCTCAGACATCACAAGCTCATTGCCCCATATGCCGTCGGGAGTGGCAGTTTAAAGCATGAGAGCACATGTTTTCGATTTTTGAAGTGTGTCTAGAGAACGATGTAAATTGACATTGAAGACCCTACCGCAACTTTTCCATGCATACAAGATGTATTGCTTCCTATTAGCAAATTTATAACTTTATTGTTGTAAGGAGGTTGAAACCAAAGCTTTTGTACAAGTGCCAGATTATTTTTTCCACAAATGATGAATGACAATGTCCTTTTCCTTTCTTTTCCGATCTGAGCCGATAGTATGTGCAGATGTTAAGCTAAATCATGTGTATAGATAGACAACTGGATTCGGTAAGTATAAATAATCTAGCTTTTCATATATATGATTGAAATTAAACCTTTATACATTTTACATAACCAAGTTTTTATTTATTTATTTATTTATTTAAGATGAGTCCTTGCCTAACTTTATGAACCTGATTAGTATCAGAGATTTCCCGAACTTTCCTTTTTCCTTTTCCGCGTTTTAATTAATGAAATGTCACTAAAGATTATGGAAATTTAGTTTGACACGTAATTGCCTGTTTTTAATAATGTGTTGGCTTAAACTGTTATATACGTACATAATTAAAATATTAAGTTATCCAATTAGGCCGCTAAAACTGTTATGTTTGTCACGTCAACAAAATAATATGATATGGACCACATACAAAAGTTGGTCATATTCTTAGCACATAAGATTATATTAGTGAAGTTGTCTGATCAGCAGCAAAATAACAAAACTTTGGACATTTGTTCTACAATCTGCACATTCATATTTTTTTGAATTACACGTTGGAGGGTTCCAAATGAACCACATTCCATGACACTTTCATGGCTCCCCTTGTTGATGATGGCTTTGCCAGTTGTTGACAAAAATCAATGCCACTGGGGTAGCAGCTCTGTTCAATAGCAGAGGCTTAACCATGGTGGGGCTTCAAAGAGTAAAGATGAAAATCAATATGATTTTTTATTGTCTAACAAAATCATAATTGTAGCTACCAGAGCAAGCTCCATGCTCAACCCCTAACGAATCAAGAGTAGTATAAAAGAAGGATTTACAGAAAAAGAGTACAAGATAAGAAATCCTTCACGGATTTCATTCACACTTCATTCTTTCTGCTACTATTCACGCTTAAACTTCTTAAATAAAAATTAAACTGCTAGCGTTGAATTATGTACTTATCTATCTAGGATATACTGATCTTGAATCTGATTCTTTGGTAATATGAGTGGACAATATTATTTGGCGAATCTTTTTTTCTGTATCTTAAAGATAAGACTGAATGTGTACAAAAGGCGCTCAATAAATACAAGAAACTTGTCCCCATCGAACAGATGAATGACATCGACACAACACCTTTTTCACTGCTTAACATAAATTCAAATGCGTTCTCACAAACCCAAACAGAATGTAATAAGAATAAATTCAATTTATTTATTTGAAAAGGTCATGAATAGTACAATTTACATCACATACTTGAACAAGACCACGATACAAATCAAATTTTGCATTTCAAATCGATTACCACTAGAGACTAGAGACTACATACAGGCTACACGCTTAAGCTAAAAACAACGGAATTTTAGAAACAGAGCAAAAAAAAATGGACAACATTGACAATGATATATTAAAGAAACACTAATGTGAACTGAAAGACAGAAACGCCAGTGATATTTGTTTATTGCCTTCCTGCCAAACCAAAAAAAAAAAAAAACATCATTTCGTCAGTGAAATTAGAAGGTCCACCATAAAAGTAAAGCTAATAAAATCTAAATCCATTAATTCTCTTGATATTGCTTTAGTCACAATTATTATCACGATAAATTAGCATCGAACCACTCTTAATTGTAACTAGTGTTCTTCTGAGTGAAAATTTTGTGTTTTTCTTTCTCCATAAAAAGAACGAAGGAAATTTCATCTTAATGTGGCTACAGTTGAAGAGGGTACTAGAGACTGCTAAAGTATGAGAGCTTATGCTGCTTGAAGCCTTGATAACAATATCATATAACAGATCTATATAAAATATAAACAGCCAAATTATTTCAATCCCAAGTTCCTTGAAGTAATTAAGTACTTAGTTTACAAGAAAAATAAGATGATCATATGGCCTTAACAAAATGAGCATCTTCCAAAGAAAAGGGTCACTTACAAAAGCTAAAGGGTGATCACTTGGTGATGGCATAGACAGCATATATAATTCCAGGTATATAACCAAAAAGGGTCAGCACCAAAGAAATCCAGAACTCCACCTGCATCCAACAAACCAGTAACCATGTGTTGTATTAGTTTCACCTTCAACAATTCATTAACATCCAACAAAAAGTAATGACAAAAATTTCGCGAAAAATCTTTCTGCAAAGAAAAAACATGTAAAATTTATGAATACATGGCAGCCAAATTTGAGAAAGACTCCGAGGGGAGGCAAGATGATAGCAAGAAGGATGTCTATGCATGTAGCTGCACCGTCACCGGCCATTTTTGCCCTAAGAATTTCCTCAAGTGAAAAACTTTTCTCTGTGAAGTTGCAACTTCTGCAAATGCAAAGAAACAATTCGGACTCGAACGTAACACTCAAAACCTTTAAATTAACTGCGGAAGTTGTAAATTGTGAGGCAAACCAAAGGATTCTGAATGCCTATTTATAAGCCACGTACACACTCCATGAATTCACGTGGCGTCTTTTCATTGGAACTAAGAAAGCGGTTGCTTTACAGTGTGTAAACTCCGCGTACCATTATGCCAATGCCAATGAAACTATTCTTTCAAATAAAAATAGGTTCGGGTTCCCTCACCTAAGCTTCTTATGAATCAATGTTTTTTATTTATTAAATTAAAACCACTTAGGAGACATAATTATTTCAATGATGTTATGTTACGATGTAACATTAAAATTAAAATTCTGGAAAGAAAAAATAGCGTACCGAACTGTCAAAGAAAATAAATGGCCACGTTATCCTTTGGATTTGAAGGAATGGCAACAGAGGGACAGGGAGGAGTGTTTGTGGTGCCACGTGGGGACCATAAGAAGTTAGCGAAGATACTAACACACGCAATCAAAGTCAAAGGCAGAGTGTGGAAACTGAATACATCTACGGCTCGTAAGTTGCCGCGCTAAAGAGAAGCAACGGCGTTGATGGAGCCACGCTTTATGGGGTTCCATGTTACAACCGACTCTCACGTGTGTGCCACCTCCTTTATCTTTTTTTTTTTTTATTCATTTATTTGAAGATGAATAAGTTCTTCTTCATTTTAGAAATTAAAGTAAAATTTTTAAATAATATATATAAGTAGAATTATGATAAGAGTTTAAAATTTAGCGAAATTCATTTTTGACAATTTATCTATACAATAATTCTGAAACTGTATAAAACTTTATATTCATAATTTAATTAATAAAAACATGGAATTCAATTGTTAATATTGAAAAATAAAAATGTCAGTTAATTAAGGGAAACATTTATATTTAGTACCTATGCGTGGTTTAAATTAGATTTTCTCTTGAAAAAATCAATCTGAAAAAAAAACACTTCAATATTAGAAGTTTTTATTAATTATGATAAATATATTATTTATTATTTTAGATAATTCAATTATCTTTTAATGTTGATTCTGGATCGACATAAGTATCGGAACGTGACGCAATTAATCTTTTGATTGTGCACCACGTGCAGCAAACGCGTCAACTTCACATTCATTTAAGACCACGTGACGCAATTAATCTTTTCATTATTTTCTTTCTTTTCCAGACAATAACTTTCTTTTTCTATCAATTTTTATTTTTCTTCGTTCTACATGTGAATCAGTCGGTACTATCAAATCCATGTAGCAGTCGCAAAACATTTTCTTTGTTAAATTAAACTTAAAGATATTAATTTTTGAAATTAATTTAAAAAAATTAGGGTGAGATAAAAATAAACGTAGATATTTATTACTTAATGAATCAAGAAATATAATATATTTAGAATTAAAAATAATAATTATCACGAAATTCATAAAAAAAAAAAAAACATATATCTTAAAAGTACTTTACAAAAATAAAAAAATGGGCCTGAAGTTGAGTTGAGTCCTGGTCCATTAAGAAGGTAAACTTGTTTTTCAATAAACGTGTTTTTTTTTTAATCACGTCTTTGCGGGCAATGGCTTCCAAAATTGGGCTAAGTCCGTGGACAGGTAGAAAGGTGTCCCAAAAGGCAATTGTTATTTACACCTTTCAGATTTATTAATATACTTCCATTTATATATATTTTTTGCCCAAAAGGTTTTTTCTTTTAGAAATATTAAAAAAAAATACATTTCAGAAATTACTTTCCAAAAATATTAAAAAATTGAACATCCTGAAAATAATTTTACAGAAATATTTAAAAATTTAATATTCAACATAAGACTATTTGAAAGTAATCTCTGAAAGTTAATTTTCAGGAAAAAAAATAGAAGCTAATTGTTTTTTATGTTGGGAAGTATTTGTTATGCATTGAACCTAACGTTATACCATATTTTTAGTTTTCCTTCAACCCTAATTTTGCATCTCTCACACTTTGACTATCTTTAAGTTTATAATTTTAGCATCTTCTTCATCATTCTTTAGATCGTGTTTCCTTAAAGCATTTTTAGAAGTAGAAACTCAAAAAGTGCTTTCCACAGGAGTGTTGTTCATCGTTTGGAAAAGAGAAATAATTATTACTTACGTGATATACAATCGCACGGAAGATGTGTCAAATCTTGCAATCTATGACATAAAATCTATATGAAAAAACAACACAACTATGGTATACTATTTTGGGAAAATTCCACAGATTTAAAATCGATATTTCACTTGAAAGATGATGAAAATCATGAAAAAAGAAGCAACAGGAACAAATTATGGTGTTCATGTGTGATCAAGTGGTAATGGTGTGACACTAGAAAATAGATATCTGGTATCTGGAATGTGTTCTGAACTGCATGCTCTCATTTTATATATACAGAAACAATGGAATAGGCAACCCTCAAAATCAAATGAGATTTTTGGTTGAATTG